CGATTAGGACCAGGAGGCGGGGGACCGTTCCGCGCGCTCCTGGGGTCACGGGGTCAGCGAGGCCTAGGTGCGCCGGTCGCGCAGGAGCCGCAGCCCAGCTGTTGGGGCCGTGCGGGGAGCCTCGGCGGCCACCTGCCCCGGGGTAGGCGGGAGCCGGGCTGCTCAGCTCCGGGCCGCGCCGCGGCACTCCGCTCTCCCCACCCCAGGAGGCGCTGTTTGTCAAACTTGGCCTCCCTGGCAGGAGGCGCCTGCACGTTCTCACGTGGAGAACTGAGCCCTTTGCAGTCCTCGGGGGCGGGCTTCAGGAGTCCTTGCCGTGCAGAACAACGGGGGGCGGGGGGCTGCAAAGAACAGGGGTCTGAGACCCTTCAGAGTTCGCTTTTTACCTGTGAGTCCTGCCAGGCCCCGGCCTTCCAGCGCAGGGGAGAGGCGCGGCTGCTGTGCCCCCCGTGGGTGCGGGCGCAGCGCCCAATCACTCGCCTCCCAGAGGGAGCGGGCCCGCGGCCTGGCATGGGTTCCATCACCACGTGCCTCCGCAGGGCCTGGTGGCTGCCGTCTCTGCGCAGAGAGGACGCAGGCGCCTTCTCTGGGCCTGAAAGACCCACCTGAACCCGGCCCACCCCCCTCTGTGCGTAACTTAGCGGGTTGGGGTGGTCTGAGTGTGGAGCTATTGCTCGGCCGTCCTCGGGGCCTCGAGCGGCGTGACCCTGCAACGCAGGTCTAAGGCCCGGTGCCCTTGGGGGCCGCGCGCCTGACCCGCAGGGGGCAGGGTCTGCCAGTGCCTGGCGCTTCCACCTTCTCCTGCAGTTCGCCGCGCTTTCTAGGTGCGTGCTCCCGGAATCTCCCGGTTCTCCGGTTCTCCCGGCCCTTACGGCCTCCCTCCCTTCCAGGCCCAAGGTCAGTCCAGGTGTCAGTTCGGGTTCTCCCGGCCTCTGCTGGGCCCCAGGCCGGACCCGGGCTGGAGGCCGGGTAGTTGGTGCAATTTGAGTGTGACCCCTGGGCGAGGAGGACGTGGGGGCGGGCCGCGCATGCAGCTCCGAGCTGGCTGTGAGAAGGAGAACCGTGGGCCTTGGGCGCATGGGCTGGCACGGGCTGCAGCGCTGTAAGTGGTCTGGCTGAGCAGCCTGGGCCTGCGGCCACAGGCCCTGTAAGGGCACCTTGCCTGTCTGCGCCAGCGCGCCCCCATCCCTGGAGGTGCCGGGCTTCCAGAGACCCCCAGCCGGGCTTCTCCACGCCGGAAATGCACTTTATCACCCTTCGGAAGGCTGGCGGGGTGGCTGGCAGGTTCTCAGGCTCCGCAGGGAGCAAGAAGGGGCATCCGAGGAGTGCCCGGGACACTGGGCCGGCTCCAGCTCTGCGCCCGGCCTCGCACCCTGGGACCCCCAACTTGGCCGAAGTTTCTGGGTGGCTTGGAGACCAGTGCCAGCCTGGCTCCCGCTCCTGGGCCTGGCACCACGCAGCCGTGTTGGACCCGGGACTGGGGAGGTGCCACGGGAAACTTTATGCCTGGCACACGCTGAACGGCCCCCTCCCTCGGGTGGGTAGTGGGTGCAGGCAGAGGGCCTTGGCGAGTGCGATGAAGGCGGGAGCACTGGCACCGCGCCGCCGGCAGGGAGGCCGGGCCGGGCTTGGGCACCGGCGCCTCACCGTTGTGCCGCCCGGCCCTCCCGGCCTCTGGCGGTGCAGTGACTGGAGGCCACGCGCTGCCTGGGCCCTGCCCCCGCCCGCTGCTCCCTGAGCAGGACTCCCGGGGCGGCGGGCCCTCTCGCTCTCTGAGGTCACTGTCTGCTCCGGCACGACGTGGGGAGGACAGCTGGGCACTGGCCATCTGACTGACTCCGGCGTGACATCTGGGAGCCCACTGGTGTGTGGCACGCGAAGCGCTTGATGCCGCTATTTAAATGCAAATGCGAGGGGGCTCACTGAAGCCTCTCCCGGTAAATCCGCACAAAAGGAATACTTCCCGCCCTCCGAGGCGGCGGCGGCGGCGGCGGTGGCGGCGGTGGCGCCGGCGCGAGGGCCACCAGTGCACATCGCGTAGAGCGGGGCCCTGAGCTGTCGCCTGCGCATTCGCGGCCCGGGGTTTACGGCGAAGGTCAGGCCCCACCCGGCCGGCCCCTGGGAGCGCTCTGCGCGCGGAGGCTGGACCGGAGGTCTCGGGGGGACCTGCGCAACTTCCAAAGTGCCGGCCTGCCCTCCCCTCGGCTTCCCCTACCTGGGTGTTGGGCGCCCTTAGCTCCCTGGAAAGGGAGGGGGTGGGGCGGGGCTCCCGCGGGAGGCGGCCGGGCGCAGGGACGCGCTCGCAGCCTTTCTCTGGACTTCCAGGAATCGCCCTGCAGCCCCTCCCCCGCGCCGCGCGGCCTGGGTGCTGCAGCCCTCGCTGCCCTCCGCTGCGGCTCCCGCCCCATCATAGCGAAAATCCTGGGGTGGGGTTAGGCGGGGGCGAGGAGGCTGCGCTGCGCGGCTGCCCTGCAGCAGGCCCGGGCGGAGACCCTGCCCCGGCGGCCAGCCCTGGTGCCCGCCGCTCGCAGCCAGCAGCGGAGTGACAAAAAAGATAAAGTTGGTGAATGATAAAGGCCGTATTTTCCACGCTTTGGGTGCGGGACCAGATGATCTAGAAAATGAGCTGAAATGGATTCAGCCTGCAAGCCTGTTGTGAGCGCAGCTGATTCCCCCATTTCGGGCCAGATGGCTGCTGAACACAGATTTGCATTCATTTTCGCTTAATATCGTCCAAAACAGTGGGGCAGCTGCATTTGTTGTCAAAAAGGTTTAAAACCCCTTTTCTTTCTGGGGCAGGATCGTTACCTTATGTGATGGGCTTATAGAACTTTTTTTCCCTCTTTAGTCAACAGTATCAGATTTAGGAGGATTTGTTTCTAAACCTTCTAATTTGGTAATCAGATTTAAACCGCCCTGGTGCGTGTAATCTGAATTAAAGATACTGTAAATGATTTTAAGCAGGGTACTTTCGTTAGCGCGGGGACGCGGGCACCTCCAGCGCGGGCTGGGCACTTTAGGAAGTGAGCCACAAAGAAGTCATTGTTTCCGAATTCTAACTTCATCTTTCCCCGAAAAGGCATTTTGCATATTCTGACAATAACGCCGGCCTGGCCGCTGGCCCTGCCAGGAGCCCCCAGGCAGCGAGGCTCCCGGAGACAAAGCGACTTCTCAACCCCACCCTGCCCTGATGGCCAACTTTATTTTTGCGTGGTCTCTCTGGGAAGAAGGTGTCCCCTGCCGCGCCCCGCCTGCGGTGGGGGAGAGCCCCGGGCTTATCAGGGGTACAGAGATTTTCTTTTAATTTATCGTGAATAGTTTCCGCACACTTTGATTTAGGGTTATTAACATTCTATACAGTGGCATCTTTAATATGTGGCGATCGCTTCTAAAGACTAATCTCATTACCCTCAAATAGTCATAAAATATGATTTTATTATACTTACGTATTTAATTAGACGGCCGGCACCGTAATGGATTTTGAGATGGGACCGGCGCAACAGATTTGATGATTCACTTATCTTCGGCAGTAGTCATTAACCCCCAACACCAGCAAAATAGATTGCTTTCCAACACATCCTGTTTCTCGCCCCTTCCAAGAGGCTTGGGGGGGTCCCCGGATCATGTAAATCGGACTTCGGTTTTCCCGATTAATTAAAATATGAACGCGCACACACCGCCAGTTCACAGGAAAGGGAGTGCTGCCCCAGGCCCTGCGGGAAGAGGCTGCCCAGCGCCGCCCTGGCACCCTGTAACCTGTTTGGGTTTTGTTTGTTTGTTTTAATCAAAGGAGCCTGAGTTCTCGCGGCAGGGAAGCGCCAGGACAGCTCCCGGCGGTCCCCTGGGTCTCCAGTCCCAGCCGCGCAGATGTCCTCTAGGCGGGCTGTGCGCCTGGGCTCGGAGTCCGTGCTGCGGGAGCCCGGCCGCCCGGCCCGGGCGCTGCCGGCGCCCGGCCGCCCTCCGGATTCCTCGAAACTAGGTCGGGGAGCCGCGCGCCGCGCGCTTACCCGGGCCCGGCGGCACCGAGGGTGGGACCGGGGCGCCCGCGGCGTCCGCTCGGCTTTTAGAGCGGCTGGCGCCGGGGAGGTCTGGGCACCGCGCGGGGCGCGCAGCCCGACACCCGGCTCCAGGTCGCCTGACAGGCCGGGCGCGCTTCCTGTCCGCCCGGGGAGCCCGGAGCTTCTCTTTGTCACTCGCTGCGCCTAAAGACAGGCGGGGGGGACGGGGTCTCCCGTGGCCACCGGGAAGGAGAGCATCTGGCAAAGCCCGCCTCCGACGTGGGTCCCTAGCCCAGCATTCGGCGGCCTCCGCCGAGGCAGCCGGCACGGGCGCCCGGCGAGGCCCGGATCGGGGCGGACCGTCTCCCCAGCAGCCTTAGAGGTCTGCTCAGAAGCCGGGCTGAGCCGAGCGCCCCGCCTGGGCGAGGGAGCCCTGCTCCCCTACTGCCGCCCCCGCCCGTGGCTCGCCCCGCCGGCTCCCTCCCCGCGGCCGGCCTTCCTCTCCTCGCTTTCCCCCTCGGGCCGCTCCGGGGCGGGCGGCGCGGCCCCTCGCGTTTATCGCGTGCGTTTGTGCAAGTCGGGGCGCCTCGGCATGTCCCCCCCTCCTTCCCGCCGTGCTCTGACTGTCCCTGTGATTTGGGGAGAAGGTGTGAGGGGGACCGCGCTGCAATCGTGCACTGGTGGTTTCATTTCAAGATTTATTTGGGCGAGTCGTAACTTCCTCGGCTGCGGGTGGGCGCGAGGAGCCGCAGCTCGTGGCTGGGGGCGGCGGCGGCGCTTGGTGGCGCTCGGTGGCGCTTGGCGGCGCTCGGCGGCGGCGGGGCTCGCTGGGCTCGCCGGGCTCGGGCCGGCTCGCGCGCCGTCAGGCAGTCAGTCGGCGAGCGCGGCGGCGGCGGCGGCGGCGAGGGGCGCGGCGAGGGGCGGCCGCTCCCATATATGGCGCAGGCACCGCCCCCCGACGTCACCCTCTGACAGCGCCGCTCCCGGGGGCTTCGAGTTTTGGCTCCCGGGAAAGGGTCCATTCCTCGGGGAGAGAGGGCTGAGTTTTGTGCGCCTCCGTCCGCTGCGCGCGCCGCTCCAGGCCCCGCCGCGCCCCGCCTGCGCCCGGGACTGCGCCGCGGCTCTCACTGCCCCGTTTATTTGTCTTTGGAGCAGGCGGGCCGCGCCAGAAGCGGACGATCCCGCAGTGTCCTGCAGCCGCGGACGCCGCCCGGCTAGGATGACACCACGTTGAGCGCGCCTGCAAACAACAACAACAACAGCAGCGCCTGGCCGCGCGTCCTGCTTCTCCTGCTTCTCCTGCCTCTCCGGAGCGCCGCCACCGCCGGTGCAGCCGCCGGTGCAGCCGCCCCCGCGCCCCCGGCCGTCCGGAGCGCACGGCCGCCGGTGTATGTCGCGCCTGCCCGGGACGGGCTGAAGCCGGCGGCGGGCCGGACCGCAGGCGCCGAGCCCCGAGCGCCGCTGCTCGCGGAAGCGCTTTCGGCCGGGAGCGGCGGCCGCCGCCAGCAGTTTTCATGTTCGGGATCCAGGAGAACATTCCGCGCGGGGGGACGACCATGAAGGAGGAGCCGCTGGGCAGCGGCATGAACCCGGTGCGCTCGTGGATGCACACGGCGGGGGTGGTGGACGCCAACACGGCTGCCCAGAGGTACGTACCGGCCGGCCCCGCGCGCCCCGGCCCGCGCTCCGGCCCCGCCGGGTCCCCGAAGCCGGCCGGCGCCGCGTTCCTCACCGGGCCGCTGTCTCTTTCCTCCCGCAGCGGCGTGGGGCTGGCGCGGGCGCACTTCGAGAAGCAGCCGCCCTCCAACCTCCGGAAATCCAATTTCTTCCACTTCGTGCTGGCGCTCTACGACAGGCAGGGGCAGCCGGTGGAGATCGAAAGGACCGCTTTTGTGGACTTTGTGGAGAAAGAGAAAGTAAGTGCGGGCACTCAGTCACACCCTCCGTCTTTCTAGAAGTGGGAGGCAGGCGGCGCCCCAACGCGGTGGCCCGGAGAGCCCCCCTCGGCGGCGGCGGGGCGGCTCGGCCAGGCGCCCCCGCCGCCACGTGCGCCGGCCAGACCGCGGAGGGCCGGGCGGCTCCTCTGCGCCCCCGGCCTCGCGCGGGGCCGGGAGGGCGCTGGGCGGCCAGCAGGAAAGTGACATCACCGCGCTGCTCCGAGACAGGAGTCCTGCCCCGCGTGAGGCCACGGGGCCCCGGTGGTGCAGGGGAGCGGGCGCCGTGGCCGCGCGGCCGCCGGCCGCCCTAAATGCACGCACTTGTTCCTTGCAGGAGCCCAACAACGAGAAGACCAACAACGGCATTCACTACAAGCTCCAGCTGCTGTACAGCAACGGTAAGTGGCCGCCGCGCGCCTCCCCGCCCCTGCCCGGCTCGCTCTGCCTTCCCGCGAAGCTTAAAGGACATAAAGATTTGGAGATTAAAATGACACGGATGTAAACACGAAGTCTTCTCGTGGCATAGAAGGAAAACAAAACAGAGGCGATCGATAAGTCGATGGCACTTCCCATGATTAACCGGCGGGGCTTGAAGCAGAAAGTAAAAAGCAGATCGATGGAGGCTCCAGCTGAACATCACTTTTAAGTGACTTTTTTCAATTTTGCAAATTAATGTTAATTATTGAGATGGGGGTCGCTCTGGCAGCCGGGCATAACTTCCTTCCCGGGCTCGAGATTTTAAAAAATCCTCGAGAGACGTTAGAAAGAGTTCAGACTCTGCTTCGTGTCTTGCTTTCTGTTTTCTAAAAATAAATGACCCCACGGGCCCACCGGCAGGCCGGGTGGGCGGCTGGGCTGCTCTCGGCCACACACACACTTTCTCTCACACCTTGCAGGGCAAACCCTGGGAGTCTTAAGGTCCTTAATTAAGAAAAGGGGAAAAAATGCAGGGAGCAGTGACTGGGGTTTTCTCTCTCGCCTGTGAAAGAAAGGGCACGCCCGAGTTTTGCTGCATCACGAGGCTGCAGTCCCCGAGTCCCGGACTTCCTGTGCCTGGGTGCCCTTGCTAAAATCCTGACGAGAACCTGTCTCTGTTTGTTTTTTTTTTTTTCCCCAGGAGTCAGGACGGAGCAGGATCTGTATGTGCGCCTCATAGATTCAATGACCAAACAGGTGAGAAAGTTTAAACGTCCGCACGGATTTTTGCACTGCCCAGCTGGGGCCGTCCTGGGGTCCCGGGACTGGCAGGCTGACAAATGGGTCTCCTGTTTTTGTTGTGTGTGTGGCTTCCTTGACGTGTTAATGAGAATTCCATATTTATCGGAATAAATGAAGCGATTGGCAAAATAGTTTGTTGTCATAGAACAGGACAGATATGCTTTATTAAATGGCTTGTGATTGGATTCAAGTTCTCTCTTAATTAATTATGGTAATTAATATTTGACAGAAAAATTTCGAGATGCCCCCCTCCCGTGTGTTTTTTGAATGTTTTTTCTTTCTCCTTGGAATCATTTCATCGATTTTCTTTTTTTTTCTACCACAATGGCAACTAACTCCTTTCCAGAGCCCACTGAGCGGGCCTGATTACTCCATTTTTCTCCTTCCCCGGGTGACGGTCTGGTAACACGAGACGTTTGTTTGGATTTAAAAGTTAAATGTGTTGGGGTGAAAAGTCACCTTGTTCTCCTCTAGTCCATCTTCACCTCCCGGCCCCCCGTCTCCATAATTCAAACTCTGAGCTCCAGGGGTCACCCCAAGCCGCCCAGCGCTCAGGGAGCCGCTCCGGCCCTCTCTCCCCCGCCATGTCACCCCTTGTAAATAACATAATTACAAGCAGCTCCTTATTAAATTATTTAACCTGTCTTGGCCAACTTTTCCGGGGATAACTGCTGGCTCTCGGCAACACCACCGAGGGCAGGGGAGCACCCTCCTCGCCTGCTGACAGGGCGCAGCCCCCGGCTGGTTTGGTGCTGGGTGGCGTGGGTGGCCGTTCAGTTGCGTTACAGATTTCTTCCCTCCTTTTCTTAAAAATAGAGGGCTGGGGGAGGGGAACGCCCAGTGGGCGAATGAAATCCACTCGGCGCAGACCGATTTAAAATATGCTTCCGAGCTGGGCTGCAGGCTTGGCCAGGAGAGTGGCGTCTGCCTCTCGGAGGCCAACTTTGAGGACAGGAGCCACAGACAGACAGACAGACAGACAGCCTCTCTCGCGTCCTGCCGCCCAGCTCGCCCCTGCCTCCGCCCGGCAGGCAGCCCGCTGCCCGACTCCGCTCCCCTTTCAGAAAGTTTGTCCTTGCCCAGGCAGCGCTCGCGGCAGATCTCAGTGTCTCGGCGGGAACTGGGGGTGGTTTTCTCGTAGAGTAAAACAGACCTGACAGGTAAACTGTGCTTTTTTTCCCTGACAAAGACGGGCTGTGTGCCCTTCAGTAATTATTTCCCGCGGATGCAGAGACGCCGGTGGGGGCCAGGTTGCTCCGTGACAGGGGTTTTTATTTCTGTGTACGTTAGGGCTGATGTTTTCGGGGAAACACTGCCGTGTAATTAAGCGGTTAATGCAGGCAGCCCCTCGTCTCCCTGTTGCTGCACAGGGAGGAGGGTTTGTTTCAAGTTCACTTTTATTGTTCATTTAGCCACGGACCTTTGCAGTATAAACAGGGCTGAAAATAAAGGCATTTAATCTCCTCTCACTGACGGGGATGTGGGGGGGGGGCGGCGAAGGGAAAGAAATAGCCCAGTAACTGATCAAAGAGTCAATGGCGCTGAACCGACAGTTTATGGATTTCTGTTTGTGCTACAAAATAAAAAATAAATCAAATATAAATACGGGGCTCCACCGGAAGACAAGCGCGCTCTCAGAAGAGCTGTGCCAGCCGCGCGCCCTGCAGCCCCAGGCGGCCATTGGCCTGCGGTGACGCCGGGGCTGGCAGCCCGGCGGAGGGAGGCTGTGGCGGAGGGGATCGGGGACCCTGCCCTCTTCCCAGGGGGAAGCCGGCCCCCTCGGGGGCGGACTTTGTGCACCTGGAAGTGGAGGGGGGTGTGAGAAGTGCCCGAGGAGGTTGGAAGTAATTTCCAGATAATTTTTTGAAGGGGGGGCGGGAACTGGAGAGGGCTCCCTCCCCCTTCTGTGGAATTTTCTGCCGGGAACGTGCGGCTCCTGCCCCCGCCCCCTGCCTCTCCTCCGGTGGCCTTTCCCCTTCTCTTCTTTTTCTTTTCTTTTCTCTTCTTTTTCTTTCTCTCTCTCTCTCTTTTTTTTTTTTTTTTTGAGCTGGCGGCCGGCTGGGTCCGGCGGGCGGCAGAGCGGGGTGCGCGCGGCGGCGAGCGCACCTAGGGCTGCGCACCATCTGGCGGAGCCTCTGCCCAAAACCCACCCGAGCGTGTGCGCAGACACTGCCTTTTTACCCGAGAAAAATCATTGTTAGCAGTTTCAAAATAAACACCAGATTGGCCATTAGCACTTTCTTTCCCAGTATCATCCAGCGAGGAGCACGTGGCCGCGCGGGGCCGGCGCCCGGGGCCCGCCTGGGGAGCGTCCGCGAGGCCTGGGCCGGCCGCGGCCACGTGCGGCTGCTGCGGACCGCTCCAGGGCCGCCCGCCGCCTGCAGAATCCGGCGTAGGCCGGCTGGTAGGCCGCCCGCGGACTCGAGGCGGCGGCTGGGCCCGGTGGGCGGTCAGCCGCCGGTACCTGGGCTGGAACGCGCCCTCCTTGCTCGAGCCCGGGGAGCGCGCGGGCGGGTGCGGCCCTGAGTTCCCGGCAAACCGGCCGCCGCAGCCTGGCCATCTGCCCGCTTCCTTAGTCTCAGCGTGTCCTCAGGGGTCTCTTCCAACGCGCACTTGGGAACTCGGCTCAGACAATGGCCCGAGGACGCGGTGCGGCAGCCCAGGGGCCCGCAGCCCGGTGAGCCGGGGTCGGTGCCAGTGCACCCTGGCTCCCTGTGCCCGGGTCTTGCCCCAGCCCACGCGGCCGGCGTCCTCCCAGCTGAAGGCCTCCCGCAGGCCCGGAGGGCACTCGGGAGAGGAGGCCACCTTGGCCCAGCCCGGCTGCTGGCGACCCTGCGGGAGCGTGGCGTGGCTGGGCCGCTCCGCCTCCCCTGCCCGCCTTGCACCTGCCACCCCGCGAGGCCTGGGCGCCCGGACGCTAAAGCCGGGGCACCGCTTAACCTCCGCCTCTGCTTGTCCCCGCTCAGGCCATCGTCTACGAGGGCCAGGACAAGAACCCGGAGATGTGCCGCGTGCTGCTGACCCACGAGATCATGTGCAGGTGAGCGCAGGGCTGGTGGGCGGCGGGCAGGCGGCGGCCGCGGCGCCAGCTGCGGCTACAAAGGACGCCGCGCCCCGGCGCCGCCACCCGGCTGGGCTCCGGGATGGGCTTCGATTGAAATGTAATCGGCCGGCCGCGAGCCGCAGCCCCAGAGCCCGGCTCACTGCCCAGGCGACCAGGGTCCCCGCCACCGGCTGCTGGCGGAGCCGATAACTGTGCGGGCGGTGTGGCTGCGGGGTCCTGGGGGCCGAGGAGCCAGGGATCGCTGGAGTCCCTCGGCTCCCCGCCTCCGCAGCGCCGCATCCGAGCCGCGCAGCCCGCGGCTGCTGGGAGGAGGAAGCGCCTCCGTGCTCCCGGCAGCGCGGAGAGCGAGAGGGCTGGGCCGCGAGTCCGCCGCCGCCGGCGCCGCAGGCTGACCTCCTCCCCGGGGCAGCCGGGCGCCCTTCCCGGGCTGCTAGAGAGCAGAGCGCGCCTTCCCTGGGGTCTCTGTCGGAAGAGCCGTGTCCCACCTGTGTTTTCCTGACTGCCACGCGAGTTGCACCCCGACACGGCAAATAAAAACGCGCCGTTGACTTTGCACGCGCGGCCTGTGAGACGCCGTCGCGAGGAGGAGAGGGGACCTGCTTTGCAGGCGCAGGCGGAGGTGGCGGGGCCGGCTCTGCCCGGCTGCGGTGCCGGCTGCCGAAATGCCATTTCTGAGCAGACATATTGTTACGGCACTAATATACAAAAGCTGACTTTTTCTCATATCAGGTAATAAATATAAATTACAACCAATAAAGTGGAATTTCTTTATTATCCACTTCTGCATGTTCTGCAATTAACATAGAAAGCGCACAGATGTGATTTAGGCTGTGAGTGGAAGACTGTAGACTTTCTTTAATCACTTTAGCTGTCAGCTTTAAAAGGCTTTATATACTTTGCCTACCATATGGTGTTAATTTAGCTAATTTAGACATGTAACCATTATACAAGTATGCTTTTTTAAAATGCAAGAAGCATAACATTTTTGTTTCATTTCTGCTTTAATTAAAGTTTCAATAACAGAGTTAAGGTGGGCTTAGAGGAGGAACAATAGAAGTTTCTGATAGATGGATGCATGCTTTTGTGGTTATAATTAATAAGTGCCCAAAAGAAATATTGGCTGAAGGTGGCATCGTGCGTCTTTCCCAGAAATAACAGCTTGACAATTAGAGGTAAACAAAAGCCGAAGCTGTGAAAAGTTATTCCCCAGCCTCCCGCCTCCCTCCTCAGTTCACTGCGAAGACAAACACCTACAGCATGTTCTCCATTTTCGAGCATCACCGTGCAGACCGGAGCTCTGCCGCCCTCCTCCTAGGAGCGGGCGGGCGGGCGTGTCCAGCCCTGCTCCTTCCGGTGGGGCAGAAAGTTACACCCTAAGTTTAGCCGCAGAGCACGTGAGCTCTCCCGGCTTAAATGTGCCAGGCGGCCCGGGTAGGGTGACTTATTTTGTTGACACCGGCCTCTGGACTGTCAGGCTTTAAAAAAAAAATTACAAGTCAGGCAGAAAAGCATGAAATGTGTGTTAAAACCCCTGTTCACCGTTGCTCCACAGCCGGTGCTGTGACAAGAAAAGCTGTGGCAACAGAAACGAGACACCCTCAGACCCTGTAATCATTGACAGGTAAGGATGACTTCTTTCTTTTTTTCCCTCCGACACAAAACCGCAGCCCCAGCCCCAGCCCCAGCCCCAGCCTTGACTCTGGTTTCCAGCGGCTGCCTGGCGCAGGGGCCGGGGCTGGCCCGGTGCACGGAGCAGCAGCAGCGTTTGTTGTCTGCCTGTGCTCCTGCGCACAGGTGGGTTGGCTTGGAAACCTGGAGGCTGGCTCTGTGGGGATTCGGTAATTGCTTTCCAGTTGTCAGGGGAAGCGGTTTCATCTGCCACCGCTCTCGCTGTGAGGGGCACTTCATGCCTAGAGAGTTCCTGGCTTTAAACCCGGAGATATGTCATAAAATGCTTTCTGCTAATTTGTTAACAAGTATTGCATTTTTACGTTATTTTTATCTCGGATGAGAGCTGACGTGGAGACTCGGGTGGTGTTGCAGTTGTCACTGTGTTGCCCAGCGTTAGAATGAATTTAATCTGCTCTCAATTAGTTACAAAATGTCTCCTAATTTTTTTCCAATTGTGGCTGTCGTTTTATGTCAAGTAGCAAATATGTAACTAACAAACCAAAGTTGTTATAATTGAAACTAATTGCACATGCTGGTTACATTTTCCAACATTAATTTCCATAACGAGATGAGCTGTATGCATTCTTTACATTTGTTGCTCTTCATCTTGCTACTTAGCTCGTTCCTTGGGCCACGCTGTAGCCTTTGGGGCTGCTACGCGTCAGTCCTAAGAGTGTTTCTGTGGGTTTGGTGTTGCTGTGGTGGGGACAACAAAAACACCACTCTCACCCCCGTCCCCTGGTTTCTGTGGCCTGGACGGGGCGGGGGGGGGGGTTGTTTCCGTCTCCCCAGCAGAGGGTCACAGCGGCAGAAGGCCCAGGGTGTGGTGGGCTGCAGACTCTGAAATGGGCACCCCCATCGGATACATGCTGGACATGCACACGTGACACCAGTTTTGTGAAGCAGAGCTTTAGCCTGTTTTGAAGAGGGGTTGGATTTCAGCTGCTTTCATTACAAAGTTATCTTTTGATCGTGAACTTTGCTGTCCAGTGTCTGAAAAATTAAACCCGGAGAACTCCCCGAGTTAAGCCTCCAGAAATCCGCGCCACCAGTGGGGAGAAATGCTAATGTTGAACTAGCTGGAATGGCTGTTTGCTTAGTGGGGAATGCTCGGTATCTGACAGAAGGGACGGCTCTCTTATTAGTAATCAAATAGGGCTGCCCAGTTGTGGCCGTCACTCAGCCAGCGAGAGCGCGCGAGCAACACGGTGTAGAACTCAAACTAAAAAAAAAAATCAATAGTGTTGTATTTGTCTTCAGTGTGGCGGTGGCTGTGGAGGTCTCCCAGCGCCGGCTCGTCGTCTGGTACCTGCGTCTAGTTTGTTTCCGCGATTGGCTGGAGGTGTTTGAACAGCCTGGGAGTCGTGTCTGGCTGGGAGACGCTCGCAGGGGCGGCGTGCGCTTGCTTGCGACGCCGGGCGCAGAAGCGTTTCATCTTCGGAGTCGTCTCCGGCGTGCGACACGGGCGCGTCTGAAGAGACGGCTTGTTTCCACACCGCGAGGGGTGCGGCGGCGCGGCCCGGGGATTGAGCAGCCGTGTCGATTCCACTGGCGTGCGTTGGAGGCCGGGTTTTCCCCTCGAAGCCACTTCGGGTTGGGGGTGGCAGTCCGTCGTCGACCGACTGTTAACGCTGAGGGGTCTTCGACGCTCGGCCTTCATCCCACGGGGGGCAGCAGCCCCTCTGCCTATGCAGAAACAGACTCGTTAATTCCTGTCCGAGCGAGCGCTCTCTTATCTTTGCTTAATTAAAATGTGTGCCGCGATCACCGATACCTCTCCAGCCCGGGAGGAGTGCGTGAGCATCTGATATTCTGGAGGCGGGGGAGGAGGAGGGAAAACCGCAAACACACTTGGTGAGCGGGTTTGCTGAGCTTCTTTGAATGAGAGGGACTTCGGGCCGGTGTGTGCCGGGCGCGGGGGCTTCGGGGGGTCTTAGTTATTGATGGGGAACCTGCTCTGCCTCCCAGTCCAAAGATACGACAATTTTGTAGGAATTTTAATCGCCTCCCGTGCCGGGGATGTTAAGGTGAGGACGGTTCCTCGCGATGACAAATGGGGTGTACACTTTACCATCGTTAAGAGAGCTGTCACTTGCAATGACAAAATACTATTCGCGTGTGGTTGCCGGGTGAACCCCCGTGTGTTCTGGCTGCGGCGGCCGTGGCACCATCTTCAGGGCGAGGCACGTTTCGGCGGGGGGGCAGGAAGAATTTAGTGTTCGCCCTGGCAAGTTGTGTTAATTGGAGAAAGAAAGGTTGCCGGTGGAGGGGGCGTCTTTCGAGAGAGAGAGAGAGAGATGCAGCCCTTTGCGACGGAGGCCCCCTCTCCCTTTCGTAGTGAGAACTGTGTCTGCGGGGCGAGCGTGGACGCCTCGCCCCCGCCGCTGCGGCGTGGAGCGCCCCGCTGGACAGCCTGGGCGGCCAGCCCGCAGACCCTCCTCAGCACTGTCATTACTTGGTTAGTTGGCTTAGAAAAGAATTATATGCACCGTGCTCCGCCGGCTCCTGGTGGCCTTTGGATGCGTTTAGCAGCTTCTGACCAGATAAGGCATATTTGTCCCGAGGACATAAACCAATAATTCCAACCTGAATTGAGATCAATGGGCCCGCACTTGCCCCAGCCCGCACGGAGGCTCCCCCGGCGGGCCGGGCCCACGGCTCCCTGGGAGGAGGCCGGCGGAGAAGGCCGCTCCCCGCTCTGGCAGGCAAATCACATTCTGCGGACTCGGACGCCTTAAATCAATTAATTACACAGTTTAGTTCAGTTATCTTTCACAAGCGTTAACTACTCCTGAACAGCGCGGAAGACCCTCCGAGTCACGGAGAGGGAAAGTGAGGGGGTTCTGCCTTAGGAAACCCTTTTATTGTGAAGGTTTCACTCACCTTAGCTGTTTCCTTCCTCGTAAAACAATGCTAGAGAAACCGTCTTTTATGGCCCCGCAAATATAATTATACTGCAGCGCATTTAAAAGAATGTGACGACTTCTGGGGTGGAGGAGAGGCCCGGCACGGTGGAGCGGGAGCGCGGGGTCAGGGCAGAGCTACCGTGGCGGGCAGCGTGTGCGTGGACGGCGGTGACCTGCGGGGAGCCGGAGCAGGGGGGCACGTGTGTGTCCACACCACGCACGCACCCCCACATGCATGCTTGTGTGCATGTACACACACACACACACACACACACTTGTCACGTTTTATGGCATTGCTGAAAAGGACGGGGTATCGCTTTCCTCGTGGAATAATGTTTTCTGGGAAAACACCAAAGCAGATGGTCTTCATTAGGAACACCCATTGTCCGCACGGCCCGACTGCGAACAGATAAATCTCCCCGTTTCACCCGTGCATTCCAAGGGCTGTGAATGATTACAGGATGTCGGCGTGGCCGCTAAACCAAAACCACACTTCGGCTGTCGTCCTCCCGTGCCGTCCCATCCTGGGGTGTCACCTGAGCCCCACGGTCACGCCCGGGGAGCCACGTGCTCTTACCTCCACCGCCGCCTGGCTGGGTGGACCTGGGCCCAGGGTCCGACGGTGGCCACTGGGCAGGCGCGCTGTGGGCGCTGGGACGTCCGGGCGGGCCGGTCTCGCGCACACCCCACGCGGCGCCCGGAGGGAGCCAGAGCACGCGCGGCGGGGCGGTTCCAGATGGCAGGGTCTCCGGCGGCCCTCGTGGGCGCGGGCATCCCCGTGGCGGCCGGCCCCCTCCCCGGCAAGCCTGGCACCGGGCTGTGGAGTTCGGGGGACTTGTCATTCCAAGTCTGTCCTACTTTCCTGTCTGGAAGCCAGACATCTGTTTATCCCATTTTCTTTCGTACGGAGTTTGGAATGGCTCGAGCCGGGGAGGGGGAGCGGAGTTTTGTCATATTTAACAGCTGTTACAAAATATCAACCCTGTGGGCGCCGAACATACTTTTCAGCTGACCTCAGATTTTTACACAGCCCCGACACGGGACGGCAGAGAAATATCATTTGCTTAACCTCGCATTGTCTGCGATCTCACGCGCCTCCCCGCACCCGAACCCCAGCCACCTCCGCGCCGCACCCCCGCGCCCCCCGAGCCCGCCTCCTCCGTGGGCAACTCCGGAGTCTGCACCTCCGAGTGCTTGCAGAACGGTAGCTGAAGACCGATGGGAGATTTTCTTTCTTTCTCTCTTCCCCCCTCCTTTTTTTTTTTTTAGTCAACAGTGTTTCCTTTCACTTCCTGTCACAAAGGTCAAAGAGAGCGACCTTTGCTGGCAGTCTTCCCCGCTGAATTATTCATAGCATTGACTTTTTGTCAGCACACACAGTTGTGCTCTGGGACGTTTTATTCATTTACCTCATTTAAAGCGCCTTTCTGCACCTGTTCAAGTATTAATATCCTGTAATTTGGGCCTAATGCCGATTTTGCTGAACACTCATTATATTTTTTATTAGCTATATTTCCAAACGATTATGTATGATTATGACCAAGGCTTACAAACAGCACCGGGCTATTCCCCAGCCCTTACATCTTCTTGTCAGGTTGTTTTCAGAAGCAGGGGAGGATAAACATTTGACCAGTCCCCCTGTTTTTATTCCACTCCATCTCCGAGCACGGCACCTAAAGCTCCCTCCCTCATGGCTTTGCACGGGCGTGATTAAATCCAACTCCGAGGGAGCTGTACAAATGCCAGCATTTATAAGGTCAACGCTTTTGTTAAAAATGCTATGTAAATGAGGATCTGCAAAAAGGGACATTAAATAAAATTAAATTCATTGTCTTCTGTAATGTCATTTACATTTTGGCTAAGCCCCGGGTCTGTCAAGGAGGATTTTAAAAATATTTTTAATTACACACCATTTAGCGATCCAAGGCTTCCTTTTCAGCAGCGTTTGGAGGACCTGCAACCCGGAGACTGTTCATTAACTTCTCCAGCCCCAGCTTGTCACTGCCTCTGCGTCGCGCAGCAGGAGCGGTGGAGAGTTCGGGGT